CTTTCATTTGTTTCCAGAAATCTTCATTTTAATCTCCGTTTTGATTTCCATGTTGACCAAAGAATTGTTTAGCATCATCCTGTTTAGTGTCCATGTCTTTGTGGATTTGGGAGAACTTTATTGGTGTTGATATTCATTTTTATTCCACTGTGGTCTGTGAAGGTGTATGGCAGTATTTTCATCTTATGAAATTTGTTTGTGCTTAATTTATGGCTTAAGATGTGACCAATCTTGGAGCATGTTCCATGTGGTGATTAGTATAGTGTATAATCTGTGGTTGTTGGGCGGAGTGTTCTATAAGTATATGTTAAGTCCCTTTGTTCAAATATCAAGTTGAGGTTCTGAATCTCTTTGTTGATTTTTTTCCTTGATGGTCTGTCTTGAGTTGTTACTGAGATATTTATGACCCCAGCTATAATAGTGTTAGAATCAATATCTTTTTTAGTTTACTTAATAGTTGCTTTATAAATGCTGGCGCTCTTGTGTTGCATGCATATATGTTTAGGATGGGTATTTCTGGTTGATGGATTGAATCTTTAGTCATTATATAGTGTCCTTCCATATCTTTTTAAATTTTTATAGCTTAAAAGTTGTTTTGTCTGATATTAAGATTGTGACTCCTGCCTTCTTCTGTGATCCATTCTCCTGAAAATCCATTTTTGATCCTTTAACTTTTAGTCTATGTGTGTCCCTTGTGGTGAGGTGGGTTTCCTGGATGCAACACATTATTGGGTCATGTTTTTTGTATCCACTGTACCATTCTATGTCTTTTCATTTCATGAAATGAATGGATGGTGCATTTCATCCATTCAAGGTTCAGGCTATCCCCATCATGATGTTTTTATAAAACATTTTTCTTTTTGGTTTGCTTTCTTTTAACTTTTGGGTAGATGTTTGTCTGTGTTTTCACATTTGCTGTGGTCTATGTTGTACTGTTCTCTTGGGAAGTGCAGGGTATGGTCATTCATTTTTTTCTTTCTTCTGTTCTTAATAACTTTTTTAGTGTCTCCTGTAGAGCGGGTCTGGAAGCTGCATAATCTCTTAAGGATTGTATATCTGTGAAGGATTTTATTTCTCCATCACTGATGAAGCTGAGCTTGGTGGATAGGAAAGTCTTGGTTGAAATAGTTTATCTTTGAGGACTTTGAGTGGTAGACTACAGACCCTTCTAGCAATCATATCCTCTTCCCCTAAAAGGACTTGTATCAAATTCCTTATCATAAATAGGCAAGTAGCTCAATGATGAAATTTTATGTATCATTTTGTTGTGAAATTCCAAGCAACCAAATAAATTGCTTTTCTGATGACCAGGAAATTAAGCTTTGTTTTAAAGCATAGCTATATATGATTTAGCATCATTCAAAATGTATAAAACTTTATCTTCCCAACTATTTTTCAAGTATAATGGTGCAAAAAATATAGGACATTTTAAATGTTAATCTCATAGGAACACTGTTTTAAAGTGTACTCTAAATGAAGAAAAATAAGTGGTTATCTAATGCAGAACATTAGTCTTAATGAGGGTCAGTTCTTTTGTAGCCTTTTCTCTAGTTTTAAGCATGATGGGATAATAACAACTGCCAAACTCTATATCCTGTTGAAGATTTATGGAAACCCAAGTCTCTATGTTTTACATTCAAAACTACACATAAGATCCTCAATTGCTATTGTCAATCAGCACACGCACATGTTCAGAAATTTAAAAAATAAAGACTTTTTTCCCTGGAAACCTAAACTCCAGACTTTCAAGCAAATTATACCAATCCTTTATAAAGTTATAAGTTGTTAGCTATTAGTTGCATCTAATTAACTATTATTATTAATCTAATTACTGTCAAATGTAACTATTATTAGCCTAATTATATTAACTATTACTTGCAACCAAAAGTGTAGAAAAAATAAGGTGAACTAAATGGACAGTTTCTTACTCTAAAAAAAAAATCATCCTTTCTGTTCTACTTTTCTGTCAATACCATGTACATGAACGAAAATAACAAACTCACTTTTCTAGCTTTGTAAAGGTAGAAAATGTGTGAGGATAAATGTCATGTAAAACCACTGATTTACAGTTTGCTCAATACTTGAAGAATACTCATTGCTATTTTTATATTTATAAACGATAAGAATCACGATCTATCAGTTTTAACAAATGTATGTAATCATGTACCCATCACCATTTTCATAATAGAGAACACTTTCATCACCCTCATCATTTCCTTTTGCCACTATATTAGTCAACACTTCCTTTATTCCCAACGCCTGGCAATCCCTGATATGTTTTTCATCCCTACAATTTTGCCATTTCCAGAATGTTACTTCAAAGGAACCATACATGTTGTAGACTGTTGACTCTAACTTCTTTCACCCAACAAAATTCATTTGAGATTCATTTAGGCTGCTCTAGGAATCAATAATATGGTTATTTTGATTATCGAGTAGTATTTCAGTGTACGAGTGTGCCACTGTTTATTTCTTTACAAGCTGAAGGACATTTATGATTGTTTCTAGTTTTTGGTGATTGTTAATAAGACTGTTTAAACTTCCACATATAGGTTTCTATGTCAACATAAGTTTTTAATTATTTTGGATAAGTATACAAGACAGAGCTCGCTGGATTTTTCTGTCCAGGGTATGCTTACCATTTTAAGAAACATAAACTATTATCCAAACTCCTTGTGTTATTTTGCATCATCACCAGCATTCTTTAAAGATTCTAGGTGTTCAAAATACTTGTCAGGACTTGGTATTTTTAGTTTCTTCTTTTAATCACTCTAGTAGAATGGTATCAATTTGTAGTTTTAATTTGTATTTTTTAAATGTTTGTTAGTGCTGAGCCTCTTTTTATATGCTTTTCTAACTTATTTACATATTCTTTGGTGAAGTGTCTAATCAGATCTTTTGTCCATTTTTTAATTGAGTACTTTGTTTTCTTACAGTTGGGTTGTTTTAGTTTTTTGCATGTAAAAGTCCATTGTGAGCAATGTGATTTGCAAATACTTTAACCCAGTATGTGGCCTGCCTTTTCATTCTTTTACATTATCCTTTGCAAAGCAAATATTTGTAATTTTCAAAAAATCCAATTTACCATGTTTTTAAAAATGGCTTGTGCTTTTGATATCAGAGTTAAGAATGCTACCTAACCCAAAGTCACAAATATCTTAATATCTTCTAATAGTTTTTTGTTTAGACATTTGATTGATTCTGAGTTAATTATTTTATAAGATGAAAAATGTAGATCAAGTGTAAATTTTTTATGACCTATGATTTTCCTGTTGCATTTTTTGAAAAGTCTATAATTTCTTTATTGAATTAATATCTTAGTCAAAACCACTTAATTATATTTATATGGCTTTATTTCTGAACTTACTCTTCTTGTTCATTGATCTATGTGCATATTATTATTTTGCTAATATTACACTGTTGTGATTAGAGCTAATTTACAGAATGTCTTGAAATCAGATCATGTAAGTGCCTCAAATTTTTTTTCTTTTCAAGATTATTTGGCTATTTTAATTCCTTTGTTTTTCCACATAAATTATAGAATTATCTTATTGATATCTTCAAAAACAAAGTGTCATTTGAGATTTTGTTGAGATTATATTACATTTATAGATCAATTTGGAGGCCACTGTTATCTTAACAATATTGAGTATTCCAAGCCAGGAATGTGGTATATCTCTCCATTTACTTAGCTCTTTAATTTATTTTATCAGTGTTTTAATTTCAGTACACAGATGCTGCACATATTTTGGTAGATTTATACTTAAATATGTCTTTGAATAGAGACAGTTTTATTTTTCTTTCCAATCTATAAGCCTGTCTTTCTTTTTTCTTTTCTTTTCTTTCTTTGTTTCTTTCTTTGTTTGTTTGTTTGTTTGTTTCTTTCTTTCTTTCTTTCTTTTTTTTTTTGCTTTATTGAACTGGCTAGCCCTTACATTACTGTGGTGAATAGGAGAGTGTCAATCTTACTGTGTTCCTGATTTTAGTATTAAATATTTTACCCTTAAATTTGATGTTAGTTGTTTTCATCTTGTAGATGTTCTATCTCAACTTAAAGAAATTCTCCTGTCTCTAATTTACTGAGAGTGGAACGTTCTGCAAATATCAATCTAATTTGCTGATGATATTGTTCAAGACTGCTATGCGATCTCTGATTTCTATCTGTCCCAATCCTGAGAAGCCAATAGTCTTCAAGTATATTTGTGGATATTCCTCTTTTCTTCCATTTCTAACTGATTTCCTTTCTTATATTTTGAAGCTCTGTGGTTCGGTGCATACACACTTAGGATTGATATGTTCTCTTGAGTAATTGATCTTGTTATTATTATATAATGTCCTCCTTTATACCTGATAAGATTACTTGCTCCAAAGTTAACATTATATAGATATAGAAACTCTATCTCTAATTTGCTAAGCTTTGTATAATATACCTATTTATATATGTTATCTCCTGACAATTTAAAACTACAGAAATTTTATCAAAATAGTTCTAGAAACTATTATAGCTTACAACTACGTACATTGGCTCTGTAGTTTATTATGTTACTAACCTCTGATTTATCATGATTTTAGAACATGAAGAATACAGAAGTCAATAATTATCACTATATTTCATTCAAGAATAAATAATTATAACTATATTTCACTCTTAAAACTGAGGAATATCTTAGATTTCAATAAACTTATTTCCAAATTTATGTAATTTATTCTTACCTAACAATTTTTCCCATTCATTTTAGTTTTATGTCCTCTCTCCATGATAGTTAGGAGCCATATTTCAACTGATGTAAACGTATAGATCAGTGGCCATAGTTTCCATTTATAGTCACAAATACATTTAAAGATAGTTACATTTTGGAGAGTAAGACAAAGTATCCTAATTATAAAATGAAACCCCATCCACTCACTCCTGGTTATTTATGCTTCCCTAGGAGTTATTCCTTGACAAATCAAATACCAATTCTGAACCTACTGGAAGTCTCTGATGTATTTATATGTAGGTTGTTAGCTTTCCCTGTAACAGTATAATTTGTTTTAAATTATTAATAAATAAATGCCTTTGGGATATAAATTTTGTTATCTGTTTCCTCACCCCAACAGCTTCAGACATAACTGTCCAACCAACTGTGGAAGAGGCCTTTGACAACTGCACTCACGAATGTCTCATCTTGGGCCATTCTGATGCCTGCTGGATGCCGGCATCTTTGACCCATTCCAGCCCTTCACAAGGACAGACCACTGCTGTATGCCATAGCCCACCCCTGGCACAAGCCTCACTTCGACGACGCCACAGCCCACCGGTGACACAGACCATTGCTCTCTGCCACAGTCCTCCAGTGACCCAACCTATTGCGCTGTGCCAAAGTCCTCCTCCAGTAGAGGCCTCTATTCTCCACCATAGTCCTCCTCTAGTGCAGGCTACTGCACTTCACCACAGCCCACCACCAGCACAGGCCTCAGCCCTCCACTACAGCCCTCCCCTGGAACAAGCTGCTGCAATCTGCCATAGCCCTCCTCTGTCACAGGCTGCTGCCCTCCATCGTAGCCAGGCCCAGCCACAGATGGGTTTGCAGCAAGGTTGGGTGCAAGGTGCTGGAGATGATGGACTATGCTCTGTTTATTATGGAGAGCAAAGTAGTGCCAGGTCTCAGTTTTACACCATGACTGAAAGACTTCATTCCAGCGATGATTCAATTAAAGTCATTCCCCCGACAACCTTCACTCCAGGCCAACAGTCTAGAAGCTCTAGGGGTGATTCCCCCATTATGGAGGAACATCCTTTGTAAAGCTCAAATTACTATTTCAAATTTTCAGACAAGTTGTATATAGTCAAAATTTAAGATCCAGTTTCAATGAATATTCCAAATTGTTAGGCTTTCAAATAGCTATGTAAATAGAAAAAGATATCAGAACAAGTCTAGAGCTAGGCCCTTAGTCAAAAGTTACAAAAATTTACAATTTGTTTGATTCAGAATATGTATTAAAAAAGAAAAGAAATTTAAAAATCCATATCCCCTTGTAGAGTAAGGCTTATTATGACAGAATTAATATGTTGTATATACTATTTCTGATGTACTGCAATTTCTTTTTCATTTCTATCACCATGTGCAATACCACTGACATTTTTCATCCTGATTTTTTGTGTACCCAGTGCATAACAAATGGAAGGCCTTCAAATATCTGATTTTCCATGTTTACCTGTAATTTATCTAAACTTTTGTCCAGATAAGATTAGAAAGTATAAGTACTGTAGCATTTTTGTTTGTCTTTCTGTTTGATTAAGATTGTTGTTTGTCTTTGGTTTTTATTTTTAGTGTTTCTCCCTTCAAAAATGCACAGTAGGGAGTATAAATACCTCTTATAATTTTTGTCTTTGTCTCTGTTTCTATGTTTCTTACTTTGATTCTAAGAATATATTGTTGACATAATTTATATATTTTTTCAGTAAAGATCATATATAAACTGTACAGATTTAAGTCTATAACCTATTTCTCTACTCTTTAGTAGAGTTCGAGACACTGAAGTGCAATAACTGTGCCCAATTAGGCAATCATTTGCTAAAAAGGGCCTCCATCTTGTTTTTAAAATGTACCTTTGTAGTTGAGTGTAAAGTACATCAGAAATAAAATTGTATCTGTCATTGTAAGCCTATAATTCATTATTAATTGGATCTTTACCTTCCAGAATTTGTAACAGCCTAGAAAATTACAAAAAAGATGAATGCATTCAATGAGTGAGTCATTTACAGCTATAACTACAAACTACTATTTTCTAGACAAAATCAGGAATATTTAAATATTGATTTGACATCTCAATAGGCTAGTACTGAAAGAACAATGAATAAATGTAACTGCAGATAAAAACATATACTAAACCTATAAGACTAAGGGATGTTTTTCATTCTGGCTCAACTTACTGACGTAAACCACTGTAACAAGATGAAAGACAGGAAGGAAATTTTCAAGAGACATAATTATAAATCTACATAAAATGTATTACAGCACAGAATTTCAGAGAGATGTGCAGAGGGAGAAATAAGGTTCATGACTACTTATTGGGGTCAATAAGAAATACCCCAATAACACAAAAAACCAACGAAGTCTCATAAATGAAACAAAATATGTCCTTCAAAACAAAGAATACAGTAGTATTCACAGGAAACATCAGTTTCCTTCTAGTGTCTGCTATTTTCTCTTTTTGACCTTTTAAATGGCCAATATTTTTTATGCGCACATTTCATAAGTTTACAGAAACACCTTCAGCTTAATTTTCCTCCATAGCAAATCAGAGAATATGTCTCGCTTCAGTATTACAATTGATGTTTTGTGGGGGGGGTGTGAACATTTCTTATTGATTAAATTAGATATAACCTTTGTAATGTGTAACTTGAAGATATGTAATTTATGATTAAACTGTATGTAAATGTTGTAATATAAACTGTGGTATATATATAATTTCATTTGTGAAGATTTCCGCTGAATATTGAGAAATTTTTTCTTCATGTGCCTGGCAGGTTAAGTAGTGTTTTGAGAATATATTGTTCCCATTCATTGTAAAGCCTTTTAAATCGTATTTGATTTCGTGTGTAGAATAACTTCTTAACTTTTAACTACTAGAGTATAATTAGTGAAAGTTCAAATTAATTGGTCTTGTATTTTTTCTCTTTTGTATATGTTAATGCTTCAATGGATTTGGAGCATACTGGTTTTCCAGGTGCATCTGAATCCTGAGGGATTGATGATGTTTGAAAGTTAATTGTAATATGATCATGTACATGTGTTGATATTGTTGCTATTGTCATTGATGATGAAAATTTTAAACCTGGGGAAAATTTAAAAAGAAACCCGGAATGATAAAATCAGTGCTTCCAGTAGATTTTAGAACATTTTGCTCTTTTTTTAATTTTAGTTCCACATTTTCTCTTCACACCTTTAATTTAGTTATGATCTACATACAACAAGCAGACAAATTTAAAGGAAATGAAAAGGAGAAGCTGAAAGTTTATTAAATAATTTGCAAGAAATTTGAATGGTTACTACTGAATGGAAATCAGAATAGGACACAAAATTAGATATTTGGAAATTTTTTTCTGATAGCATAATTTACTGAGTTGTTAGAGAGACTCTTAAATCCTCTTATTTCAAAGTTTGTGACGTTTTATACCTTTCCTAGAAATATAGGAATGAACAAATATGCTTTCAATGCCCTTTCTATTTCTGGTTTATAATCAGACTTAGAATGTGTTTTGAATATTAAATGACTGGGCACCCTTTCTGGTTTTGAACCAGAGAGGCTTTGAATGGAAGCAGGCTGTAAGTAGCCAAAGAGGCAAGGGGTGTGAGCCCAGTTATTCACCCCTATGCATTCTCTTTCTAAGCTTCCACTAGGTCTGGCCTTGGAAATTTGAAACTTTCAGGGCTTCAGATCTGATGAGATATTGCTCATCACATTACAAATCCTTTCTTTGAATGGATGGACAGAGATATAGGTTGATGCAACTCACAGATAGCTCTTCTGATGCACAAAAACTGTAGTCCTGGAACTGTAAAATGTCTTTCTTTACCATCAGTCAAAAAATGTTTGGTAAAGAAAAGATTAGATTTGGTTTGAAATTGGAACTTTAAATTGAATGATTCATATGAGAATAACATGTTCAATCAGACTGGTTATCCTATTTTGTGGCCATATTCAAGTATATTGTGATTATTAATTTTCTCGCTATAGTGCTAATATACCACATCTGTACGTATATATTCAAGCATTGTGGATCTTATATGCTAAGTACATAAACATTCTGGTCTTAAATTTTATTTTCAAGTTTTAACTAATGTTGTGTCAGTGTATTAAAAACTAGCTTTTACATAGGATACCAACAATGTAATAAATTTAGACAGCACATTTTGTGTAGTCTCATTTAGTTATTTAACATTGTATATTTAATTATGTAAATTTGGTTAGAAATTTGCTCCTGTGTAATGGTGACAGTTATGAAAAGCCTCTGCCTTCCCCAACTAATATTTCTCACACATTTTCATTAAAATATGAAAAAATAGACTAAAATAAATCACAAATTGTGCAGTTCGTAAAATGTGATCATGTCATATGCAAAAGAAATCCTTTTCAATCCTGGAAAAATTAAGTGGATTTTATTCACATGCATATTTCTGCATGATTTTTTGGTTTTTATATTAAGACTGAAGGTATGTGCGTCTCCTAATATACATGTATGAAAATTTACATGGTTAGGTTTTTCTTTATTTATATTCTTCTGATTTATATTTTATATTATGGCTATCATTTCTTGTCTTTCTTCTTTTATACCTTTTGTAAGCCAAATTTATAGTTATGTTTAGATAAACTTTTTATTATCATAATTATGCACTATTTTGAATATTTCCAACTGGCCTAATTGGCCTGGAAAGAATGAGAGCAAGAGAAGCTGAAATATATTTGGACAGGAACCTTTCTAAATCATGTGCCAATTTCCACACCAGAACAATTTTATGCAGAGACCTTAAAATATTCATTCACAGTAGCTTCCTCATACTAACCATCCATACAGTTTTAGTAAAAATAATTTTTAAAGACAGTACAAGCTGACAACAGCAGGAGTAGTCATGAAAAGCCTGCTCAGAAAAATGTGTGTGCACAAATGAAAAAAAATTGAAGGCAATCGTTTAGTGATTGTGATACTTTTAGGAATAAAATGTGTGAAATTTATGCTATCTCTGCTTAAAATATTTGGAATATTATGAAATATGTGCTTATGTTTGTATTTGGGGAAGTTACTTCCTCTGTGACATCATGCAGCATCTGAAGTGAACAGTATACCAAAGCAGGTCTAACTATGTTTTGGAAGTGAGAAGGTTGGATACTGTATGGCCCAATATGGCAGTATGTAGTCCAGTGGCAAACGTGTATTAATTGTTCTATTTCAGACTCTGTATTGCATGTTTTCTTATCCATTAATATAGATATTAATAAAGTAGTTATGAGAAGTAAAGATACATATTTATTGTGTGTTTATTAATTCAAGAATTTTATTTTAAAGTGATTTCCAAATTTATATAACTTAAAATACAGAGGTTTTTATTTATACATTACCATGTGTGGCAGTACCAATCTATGTTAGCTTACTTTTTTGTTTACTCTGATAGTTCCGCCATTATAACTTTTGACCCAGACATTATCTCAATCATTTTTCAATGCTGGTAAACAATATTTTCATGTTTTCAACATTTATTTTGCATCTTCCATGACAAATTTCTTGGAATATATGTACTTATCCAAGATAAGTCCTTTTGCTAATGCGAAAGCCATCTATGGATTTATCTGTACAACCCTAGAAGATCCAGATGAAGTAGGTTTCTGGAGATTGTTAATATTTATGGAACAAAATCCCTTTACTTCCAGATTCACTTTCAATTTAACTAAATGGAGAGAATTCCAGTTCATTGAAGCCTCTTAAACTGCACAATATCACTAAACACATAATTGCATTTGGCTTTTTTATTAGCCTGAAAGTTTGATTAAGAATTACAGAGGGCACCTCTAGTGCTTTTTGTCGTCTTTCTTTTGAAACCATCTTTTCATTACACAATATTAATTTATTCATTCTCACAGTGGTTAACTGATGAAGGGAGCAAAAAGGAAATATTAAATCAAGCATTTTAACCGCTGGCAGAAGGGGGCTGGAGTCTTAGAAGAAGTATAACATATGTGGAAGTTTAGTGTGTTTTTTCTCATCCAGACTCCAGTTATTTGTGAGGGAAAAAAAGGAAGGAAG